TTTAAAATTTAAAACTTTTGTATGTCAAAGAAACCATCAAGAAAGTGGAAAGATGACCTACAGAATGAGAGAAAATGTTTGCAAATTCTATATCTGATAAAAGATATGCATCTAGAATATTTTTAGAACTATTACAAGTAAATAATGAACAAATAGGCGAAGAACCTGATTGGATATTTCTCCAAAGAAGATATAAAAATGGCCAATAAAGCCATGGAAAGATGTTCAAAATCATTACCCATCAGGGAAATGCAAATCAAAACCACAATGAGATACCACTTCACACCCATTAGCATGGCTGCAATATGAAAGACAGATAACAAATGTTGAAGAGGATATGGAAAAATTAGAACCCTCATACACTGCTGGTGGGGGTGTAAAACGGCACAGTCGCTTAGGAAAACAGTCTGGCAATTTCTTCAAACAGTTACACATAGGGATACGATTTAACCTAGCAATTTCACTCTTCATTATATCTGAATATTCAACAGAAATGAGATCTATGTCTATCCTTATGTGAGTGATGAGCTATGTGCGCCCCTCTTATGCTGCAGGCGAAGGGCTCCATTTCTGGAGAGATATAATAGTGAGGTTGGCCAGGTGTCACATGATGCACATGCTTTAAGCAGAACAAAGGAGTACACACTGAGTCTGAAACAAGGAAATATATTCCCACACAAGATAGTAAGGGTACCACTAGCCATGGGGGACCAATGCCCACTACTGAAGCTGATCTTGCTTTGTCCCTTCTCTGTGTGAGTATGGCATTGTTCCATCCAGTGCCTGTGTGAGTCGTGTCTTTCTTGGAGACTCCAATACCCACAAACACCCACTATAGAGTGGGTTGACATCCTAACACTGCTACTCCTGGTGACAGGCATTGTTATGCTATTTGCTATCCTCCTTGTGGGGGGACTGCTCCACTGGAGGTAGTAACAGATGTCATTTCCTCAACATCAGCAAACCATAGGATTCCAGGTGATATTTACAGACCAGCTTTAGGAGGGATAGAAACTGACCAACTTAGGGGCTGGACCAGAGGTTGGTTTCCAGGGCTTGTGTGGCAACCAGCAGTAAGAGGAAAAGTCTACCACAAAGTCAGAGGAGCAGGCCTTTGTGCTTTTAGAGGAAGTAGGTGGGAACTATCATGATCTGAGTTCGGATGTTGGCTCATATTTCTGTATTTTGCATCTAGTATAACATTTACATAAGCCACAAAAGGAGTATTAACTGTTACCTTATGCATCTTCAGTAGTCATAAACAGTTGGACTATATAGGAAAACCCAAAGAACAGGTCTAATTATTATTATGACTGATACTATTAGCAGACAGGTGAAGACAAACAAAATAGTTTCTGAGTTTAACGTCAATTCTTAGGTATACAGGCCTTGTGGATTTCTTGGGATAGCTGTCTACCTCTGATGTCAGCAGCTCCTTATCCTAGAGAAATCTTTGATGTCTATTGCAGATGGAGGTGAATGTCAGAGACAGAGGTAGATGTCCATTTGTGGTTAGACGCCTGATAAGTTCCCTTCCAATGAAGCTTTAAAGTGTCTTTTATTTGATGTCCTTTCCAATAATATCTCCAAGTGGCAGTCAATGATATTTAAAGTCTTTGTTTCTTGAGAGCTCGCTGTGAAAGGAGGCAGATACCAACTTGGCATTTTATTGAAGTGACTTGATCAATACTTGGCAATAGTGTGAGATGTCTCCTTTTAATACTGTCAGCTCTTAAGTTCCTTCATCTAATTTAAGTTCAACTTAAATGCACTATGATGCATGAGGGAATGCAAAAACTGAAAAGTGGAGTTAGCTAGGGAGCCTGAAAGAATCAAACAGTTGTCCCATAACCCCAACTATTCATTTAATTTACAACTATTGTTTACCCATACAATATACTGTAAAAGTTTTTATCACTTATTTTAGAATGGTTCCTATGCAAGTTAACATAAAAGACAACTCTTTTGAGGTGTTGCAGGGGCCCATCTAGAACACAGCAAAGTTATTCCTATTAATACTGAGATTTTAACCCTTAAAACCTCAATTTCTAACGAAAATGGATGAAAACATTTTATAACCGCTAAAAACATATTTCATAGACATCAAAGTCGGTTAGTTATTAACATGGACTGCAGGCACATTAGCACAAATCTTGGCAGTTGCTCTAAACTATACTAGTATTAACCATATAGCTCACCACACACAAAAGAAATTCAGTCCCACTTAAGAATAGCTTTGATGAAGCAATAAACAATTGCTAATTTTATTAAATCTCAACCCTTGAAAATACATCTATCTTTTTTTTTTCCAGGTGGGGACCACAAGTTTATTGGGGACTCCATTCACGTGCCCTGAGGCATCACAGGACAACGGTGTCATGCTTGCTAGCTTGCCGGTTGTGAAGGAATTCATGAGGCACATAGAAATACGAAAGAAGATTTATTAAAGTAAAAGAGGAAGGAGAGTCAGCTGGGCAGGGTCTAGAGTCTATAGCTGCAGCAAGGGGTTTATATTTTTCTATGCAGGATGTAGGGTGCCTGTAAGCTTGCAGGGGTTTGCCATTGTAATTGTCTTCTTCTGGGAACCATTCTGTTCCCATCTATGATGGATGTAGGGTGCCTGTCAGCTTGCAGGGTGGTGGCATTACAGTTGGTTTCCCTTGGGAACCCTAGCTGCTGGGGGGTTCAGAGCCCAGCAGTTAATTTTTAATCTCTTTCCTGCTAACTCACAAGCTCTTTCCTGATGAGACACTTTACCTGTCTCATCATGGAAGTTGGTGTGTTTGGCATCCTGGACAGTGACCATGGTGTTCAACTCCTCAATCAATTTCTGTTTCTTATCATCATCATCAAACTGCATGTACCATTTGGCCAAGCATGTCTTGCCCACCCTATTCTGGATGAGGATGAAGCAGGTCATGGCCACCCGGGTTCAGAGCCCAGCTGCCCTGATCCCGAGGTGACTGAGCAGCTCCCAAGACATCTATCATGTTAATATTATGTGTGATGAAATGAGAAGCATGAATCACTATTGCATACTACAGTGGAAGGGTTGTTTTGAGGAAACGTAATTCTATGATGGTTTAAGTTGTGAGCTGAACTAGCTACTTTTTTTCATGGAACACCATTTTTATCTGGAAGAACAACTATAGTTATTCAGATTTGTTACTTGGCAGACATTAAAAAAAAAAAGATCCAAGAGAGACCGTCACTTCAAATAAAACAATTGATGGTATTTATTGCCAATGATAGAACTTTGATACACATGGTCATTGTCAACAATATGCACAACTGCCCAGGTTCAGCGTGCATGCTCAAGTGGTAAAAGCAGCATATTTGAGCCACCCACCCTCAGCCTGCTTTTAATTTGCTACTGAAAGCAAATAAGATAATAGCCCAATTTCCCAGAGGTATGCATGGGAGGATAAAAGAAGAGCTAGGAAAGTTTATAATGCACTTTGGATCTTAGAGCCAGTTGGGGTCTCTTATCCCCTTACCCAACCATGAGGGTGAATATTCTATCACATAGGAGGTGTGCTTCCTGGAATTGACACATTACTACCTATTGTATTGTGTGCTTTACTGGAAACTGAGTTTTGATTGCTCATTTATCTAGTTTCTCTTTCAAAATTCCATTCCACTAAATCAATAATCTAGCTTTGCAACTTAAATAAAAGGGAAGCAAATTAAACCCAAAGCAGGAGGAAGTCATAGTAAAGATTAAAGTGGATTTAATGAAATGAAACAAAGAATTAGTTCTTTGAAAATACTGAAAACCTCTTTTAAGAGGAGAAGATTACAGAACCTATGTTGTGGCTGCTGTGTCTAGGTGTCTGTGGCAGTGTGGAGGGGCCCATGAAGAAAAATGTTTAGGAAAGGTGGGGGTAAAAAATCGGACCTCCTAAGCACTAGCAACAGAATCCTCAGTAGCAAATAAGTTGCTACTATAATACATTCAGAACCAAGAAACCCAGAAAAAGTGTCAGCCAATGGTAAAAAATCCTGTCTTTCCCAGACTCCTCAATCCAAAATAAAGTCCTGACTTTGAATATGGACATTTCCTATGACCACGATTCCCACGTCTAGTGAGTTTGGAGGTGGTGTTAGGAGGGTGAGGAGTGTGCTTATAAGCGGGGCATATATAATAACGCAGACATGTTGTCTTGCTTTTAACCTTCACGGTCACCCAGTTTGGAGCACCACCCTGAGGAGAGGTCTAGCTCTCTAACCTGTACAGATTTTCTTTATTGTACACAATTTAAATTTAAAAAACTTAATTTAACTTATTGAAGAGATTGTGGGAGATGTATGAAATGAGAACCAAAATGGACATCACCAGGAGCCAGGCAAATCTACATTCTGATGGTGGTGGGGTGAGGGGAGGACTTGATGAAGCCGGTTGCCTCTGATTTCAAAATCTACTTTGGTCCGACCACTTCTCACCAGGCCACCATCGTTTATGGCCTTCCATCGTTGCTCGGGACTAATTTTGCAGGGTGAGAGGTGATCTTGCAAAGGTCCAGCGGCTGAACCGTGCCAGGCCTGGTTAAGGAACTGCACGTAATGAGAGCAGGAAAGCGTGGTGGGAAGTGATGCAGAAGACATTAACAGTGGGACCGCTTTCCTTCTCAGCGCAAGACATTCTGCCGGAGCTCCATTAACACATGCGGTAGGGAAAAGTGAAAAGTGATTAAATGGAGACATGAGTGCGACTGGATCCAGGTAGTTTTTCAGGAGCGGCTGCTTTCCCTGTGAACTTCTCTGCAGTAAAAGCTACCGGCGTACGGAATCGACCTTCAAGATAGCGGCATCCCGTGGAAGCCGCGAATAGGTCGCTGCCATGTGCTGCCTGGGAACGTACGGACTCGGCCATCTTACGGAATCACATTCCAGGATGATGGCGTCTGCATGGAAGTCGCGCAGTAGGCGCGGCCATATTGCCTCCAACTTTGAGCCCGTACAAGCGGTCACGTACGGACTCGTCCGACAAGGTGGCGGCGCCCACCAGAAAGCAGGATTCTGGCGCGGCCATGTTTCCTGCGAACGTATGGACTCGGCCGCCATACGGCCTCGGTAGTCAAAATGGCGGCGCCTGAGAGACAGTCTGGGCTCTAGGCGGCCGACCACTTGTCACGGAGCCGATGCGCTGGGCCTGCGCAATAGGAGTACGGTGTCCGGGAGGCGCGATCAGAAGCGGAAGTAGTTGTGGGCACCTTTGCAACCGCCGCGGACACCGTAGAATGGTTTAGATTCGCGGGTCGCTGGCGGGGACCGCGAAGGGGTGCACGGAGAGTCGATAGATGGTGAGTACGGGGCTCAAGGGGGGGGTGTTGGCGTTAGAGGTTAATGGGATTGGTAAATGGTGAGGTCTGTTGGCAGATGCATGGGGGGTCTGTGCTAAACCGTAACTGGAGTCTGGGCAGAATTGAGGGGGCCTGTGGGGAACCTTAACAGGGTTCTATGGGAAGAATGATGGGTGTCGGATGGTCTGGGTTTTTTTTTTTTTCTGACATGTGAGCCATGTGGGAATTTTGTAATGAGCCATCATGGGGGTCCGTAATGAAAGTTTAGTGAGGATCCCTGATGGTAGTTCCTTGGGAGTCCGAATGGGGGATTCTTTGGCCAGAGTGCTAAGGAGTTTGCGATGAGTCGTATTGGGTAGTGTGCAGTGCACCGTGGTGACTCTGTATCAAGGGGTCCATGGGGAACCGTGATGGGGGCGGGGGTGTCTGTGGGGTTAATAATGCGGGGTCTGTGGGGAACCGTGATGGGAAGTCTGTGGCTAAATTACATGTTTGTGAGAACTCGTTATGGGGGCGGTCTGTGAGGAGCCACAATAGGGGCAATATGTGGTGAGCAATAGGGTGTTTGTAACGAGCTCTTATGCACGTGCGGATAGATTGATGGAGTGTCAGTGAGGTAAGTATGGGAGGTTTGGAGCAGAGAGATGGGGGTTTATAAGCAGAGTAATGGGGTGTCAGGGGCGATCGATGGGGAGTCTGTGGAGGGACTTATGAGGAGCCATGACTGGAATTCTATTGGCAGAGAGTTGGGGTCTGTGGTGAGCCACGGTGGATTGTAATGGAGGGAGGAGATGCCATGATGGGGGTTCTCTAAGGAGCCATAATTGGGGGGAATCCCACAGGAGGGGGATGGTTCAGACCCTGAACCTCCAGATGCTGGGGAGGACAGCAAGTCGGAGAATGGGGAGAATGCGCCCATCTACTGCATCTGCCGCAAACCAGACATCAACTGCTTCATGATGTGAGCCAGGGAAAGGTGGGCGGGGCTGACACCTGGCAAGGTTGGGTGAGGCCAGTGGGTCCTGCCCCTCACATTTGCACCACTCGCCCCATCCTCTGCAGTGGGTGTGACAACTGCAATGAGTGGTTCCATGGGGACTGCATCCGGATCACTGAGAAGATGGCCAAGGCCATCCGGGAGTGGTACTGTCGGGAGTGCCGAGGTGAGGGGGGCGTGGAGTGGACAGGGTAAGCAGGTAGGGCTTTGAGGGAGGAGGAGGAGCCATAATGGGTGTGGGTCACCGGGAATAGTGATACGTGTGTGGGCAGAGCGATGCGTCTGTGGTGAGCCGTAATAGGGGGTTACTCGAGTGCGCAGCTCTGCTCTGGAGTAGGGGGAGAGACCCTATGGGTGAGACAGGAAAGGAGAGAAGGGGGAAAAAGAGTTCTGGGACGATCCAAATCCCTCAGTCAACCTACCCTGGCCTCACCCTCTGCCCTACAGAGAAAGACCCCAAGCTGGAGATCCGTTATCGGCACAAGAAGTCACGGGAACGGGACAGCAATGAGCGAGACGGCAGTGAGCCCCGGGATGAGGGTGGAGGGCGCAAGAGGCCTGCCCCGGATCCAGACCTGCAGCGCCGGGCGGGGTCAGGGACAGGGGTTGGGGCCATGCTTGCTCGGGGCTCTGCTTCGCCCCACAAATCCTCTCCACAGCCCTTGGTGGCCACACCCAGCCAGGTGAGTGGCTGCGGTGGCAGGGATAAGTAAGGTGATTCCATCTCAGGCCCTACTTGGGTTCCTGATTGGTGTTCTGGACCCCTTCCCTCAGCATCACCAGCAGCAGCAGCAGATCAAACGGTCAGCCCGCATGTGTGGCGAGTGCGAGGCCTGCCGACGTACTGAGGACTGTGGCCACTGCGACTTCTGCCGGGACATGAAGAAGTTTGGGGGCCCCAACAAGATCCGGCAGAAGTGCCGGCTGCGTCAGTGCCAGCTTCGGGCCCGGGTGAGCATGGGTAGAGCTGGGCAGGGTCAGGTTAGGGGGCCAGTGTGTTCAGGAAGAGCTCATTGAGCCTAGGATGGGTGGGTTAGGTGGGGTGGGGCCTAACTGCATACAGACAGGTGGAAAGGAGCCTGGCCTATCCAGATGAATGGGGCTTGGCCGGGTGTGCTGGACTAGCAGGGGAGCCCCCCCAGAACCAGGAAGTCAGGTTAGAGCCAGATGTTTCTAGGTAGTCAGGCATGTCAGGGCAGGTGGAGCAGGGCTGAGCATGTCCTAGTGATACGGGGTCGGGTGGGGGAGCAGGTGTGCCTGGGGAGGCAAGTTAGGGCTGGTTGGTGGGGCCAGGCACTTGTGGGAAGGGCTAGGGCAGGGCCACCCTCCATCCACCTGGGGCTGACCCGGGCCTTCTCCTGCCGGCACAGGAATCGTACAAGTACTTCCCTTCCTCGGTGAGTCCAGCCCCCCCAGGGCGGGGTGGGGCATGCGGGCAGGTTATTCAGGGCCAGTCCTGAGATTCTGCCCTGCAGCTCTCGCCAGTGATGCCCTCAGAGTCCCTGCCAAGGCCTCGCCGGCCACTGCCCACCCAGCAGCAGCCACAGCCATCACAGAAGCTGGGACGCATCCGTGAGGACGAGGGGGCAGTGGCATCATCAGCAGTCAAGGAGCCACCTGAGGCTACAGCCACACCTGAGCCACTCTCAGATGAGGACCTACCCCTGGACCCTGACCTATACCAGGACTTCTGTGCGGGGGCCTTTGATGACCACGGCCTGGTGAGCAGGCAGCGCGTCCCATGGTGGAAGGGTGGAGGTTACAGAAGCAGAGTATCCATAATGAGGAGAGGAGGCAGAGGGTATGGAAGGCTGTTTTGGGACCTGAGTAAGGTGGTCGGGTAGTCACGAGTGGGGCAGGTGGATCAGTGTATGCCTCACTTGCAGCCCTGGATGAGTGACACAGAAGAGTCCCCATTCCTGGACCCTGCACTACGGAAGAGGGCAGTGAAAGTGAAGCATGTGAAGCGTCGGGAGAAGAAATCTGAGAAGAAGGTGATGGAGCGGGTGAAATGAATGTGGGAAGGCAGAGAGCAGGAACTGAATGGGGCGAGAGCCAGAAAGGGGTGGGATGCAGGGGGAGGCTGGGGTCTGGACTGGCTTCTACCGTCCTGACCTGCCTTGTCCCGTAGAAGGAAGAGAGATACAAGCGGCATCGGCAGAAGCAGAAGCACAAGGACAAGTGGAAACACCCAGAGCGCACAGATATCAAGGACCCTGCATCACTCCCACAGTGCCTGGGACCTGGCTGTGTGCGCCCTGCCCAGCCTGGCTCAAAGTATTGCTCAGACGACTGTGGCATGAAGCTGGCAGCCAAGTGAGTCATTCTCAGAGGCTTCAAGGGAATAAGGGAGTATAGGGTAGGGCTTGACCAGATCCCTTTTTATGTCTGCTAGTCAGTTACCTGTCCACCATTCAGTCAACCACCCACCTATCCATCCTCCATCCATTCACCATCCAATCATGTATCTGCTCATCCATCTACTCTTTAGTCATCTACTTGCTTACCTTTCACCATCCGGTCACCCATTCATTCTGTCATTGTTGGCTTACCCCAGTTGCTCATCTTTTGCTTGACACCTTCCCATGTGCACTCAACCCACTGCTCCCTGCAGCCGCATCTACGAGATCCTTCCCCAGCGTATCCAGCAGTGGCAGCAGAGCCCCTGCATTGCTGAGGAGCATGGCAAGAAGCTGCTTGAACGCATCCGCCGTGAGCAGCAGAGTGCCCGCACCCGCCTTCAGGAAATGGAGCGCCGATTCCATGAGCTCGAATCCATCATTGCGCGTGCCAAGCAGCAGGCTGTGCGTGAGGATGAGGAGGTGAGCAGGCGTGGGCACAGCAGCGCAGGGCCCAGTACCGGTCCTGCCTGGCCTCATCATTCCTTCCGCCCCATGCAGAGCAATGAGGGTGACAGCGACGACACGGACCTGCAGATCTTCTGTGTCTCCTGCGGGCACCCTATCAACCCGCGTGTTGCCTTGCGCCACATGGAGCGCTGCTATGCCAAGGTCAGGGTGTCAGCCTGAGGGGGGCAGACGGTGCGGGACTCTTACTGGGTCTGTGGGGGCAGATGTGTTGTCTTGGGAGGGCATGCAGCGCACATCCACAGTTCCCTCCGTTTGTGTTCCTCCTTCCAGTATGAGAGCCAGACGTCCTTTGGGTCCATGTACCCCACACGCATTGAAGGGTGAGTGTGGGTACCCTGCATGTAGGGTCAGGGCTTGGACGTTACAGCTGGGGCTGGAAGTGGGATGTTGGGGCCGGATGTGGCATGTGCAAGGGTAAGCAGGTCCCCTCTTCCTCTCCCCGACTACACGCTCTCCCACCCCGCAGGGCCACACGGCTCTTCTGTGATGTCTACAATCCTCAGAGCAAGACATACTGTAAGCGGCTCCAGGTGCTGTGCCCCGAGCACTCACGGGACCCCAAAGTAAGAAGTTCCCTCAACTCCCCCATTCTGTCCCTCCTGCCTTCCTCACTGCTCAACATTCATCCGTTCCTCCCCCCACGTCCTTTTCCCACCTGACCACTTCCATAACCTGCACTTTCCCGGCCTCATCACCCTGCATTCACCTCCTGTTGTCCTGTCTCGTCGCCTCCTTTTCCTCCCCTTTTCCCTGCCTTTTCATCCTCTGTTCCTCTCCTCCATTCTTCTCCACTCTCCCTTGAACTCTCCATTCCTTCCCATCTCCCTCCTTGACCACTCCCCATTCTTATTTTCTTCCTGACTCAGCACTCCTCATTCATCTCCACTCCGTCTCCCTGCAGGTGCCAGCTGACGAGGTATGCGGGTGCCCCCTTGTACGTGATGTCTTTGAGCTCACAGGTGACTTCTGCCGCCTGCCTAAGCGCCAGTGCAACCGCCATTACTGCTGGGAGAAGTTACGGCGTGCTGAAGTGGACCTGGAGCGCGTGCGCGTGGTAGGTTTTGATGCTGGACGTGGCCAGGGTGAGGTGGATCTTCCGAGCTCCTTCTCATGGCTCCTCTGCTCCCCTGGCAGTGGTACAAGCTGGACGAGCTGTTTGAGCAGGAGCGCAATGTACGCACAGCCATGACAAACCGGGCAGGATTACTCGCCCTGATGTTGCACCAAACGATCCAGCATGACCCACTCACTACCGACCTGCGCTCCAGTGCTGACCGCTGAGCCTCACGGGCCCAGATGTCCTCACACCCTGCATTTCAGGCGGGGGAGCTTGCCGGAATCCTTCATTTGTGTGTTTTTTTAATGGTCCCTGAGTTTCCCCTTGTGTCCACCCACCATTTGACTTCCCACCAACTCTTACCAGAAGGTCTCAGAATTTCCTCCTGTCTTTGTCTGTCCCTGTCTCTTTCCATTTTCTGTACCTAGGTGGGACTGTAGAGGCTGATCAACCATGTTTCCCTCCTTCCTGGTTTTGTTAATAAAATTTTGAAAAGCCAAGAAAGATAACAACTGATCGTCTCCAAACTTGACCCAGTTGCAACTGCATTCCCAAACCCCTGGGGTAGATGGGCCGTGGCACACCTATACTCATGAGGGGCTGCAGTACATGTGTAGGCTGTGAGCATACAGCTGGCATCCACTTGGTGCAGGTTTCCCCCTTGAGCTGTGGGGATATGACCTGCTGAGGGAAGAGCCCAATGACTTACCACTCACAGCCTGATTTTGAGACAGTGGGTATACAGTCAGCGTTCATTTAGTGTGTGGCTAATCAATTTACTACTCCTGTGTGAGTGTTAATATTCTCCAGGCCAAAGGTGTACTCAATGATGAACCTCTTTCCCTGCAAACCCCTTTGGGGATGTGTATGCAGCAGGAGCCCACTGACTTTGTGCCAGGAACCCCACCCCCACCTAATCTGGTTGTTGGGTCCAGTGGGGCCCACAGCCTGGCTTTCTGGGATGGACCTGCCCTCATCAGTTGCATGGACCTAGCCTTCTGTTTACCTGCAGCGTGGCACTGCCTCCGTCCCCAGTTCCTGCTCAAGGAGCTGGGGCCAGCACAGTGTTACTTGGCTCTGCACTCTCCTGCAGCTGTTCAGCGGGGAGGAGAGAGCGGGACACGGATAGTCCTGGGGAGACGTTCGCAGGGACTGGAGAGCATCCGCGGGTGACCTCGGCAAGAGTAGGGCTCCAGCACAAAACCAGCCTTCGCCGTGCCTCCCTCCCGGTTACTCCTTGTGGAGACCTATCATGAGCTGGACGTGACTATCAAAGTTGCAGTCTCACACACGTTTGTGTCTTTCTATAATGTCAGACTTTATTAGAATAAAGCCATGGATGTAGTCCTACTGACTAGTTTTTTGTTGTTGTTTTTTCTTCTTAGCTGAGCCATCTTGCCACCTGTTGGCAGCTCAGCGGCAGCTCAGCTCAGACCGGGAATCAAACCGGTGACCCTGTTGCTCAGAGCTCGCGCTCTTCAGTGAGCTCTTAACCAACCGAGCCACTTGTCCGGCGCGTGCTGACTAGGTTTACCACAGGCTTCGACTAAGGCTCCCACCAGAGGATAGCCTCCAATAGTCGAGGTACAGCGGTTTCACACAAGAGGGTCACACGGGTTTGCAAGCAATAGGGTTAGGCAAGGTGAACAGCGTCTTACGAAAGGATGAGAGCCCGGTGTTCAGCGAGAGTCGCTGGGGTGCGTATTGTCGGGTGTCAGGCTGGGCTGGTGAGACGGTCAGGAGGCAAGACTTTACGCGCTCCGTCTGGGACGAGTGCAGATGCGGCTGTCAGTTGAGGCCTGAATGATGAGCCTTCAGAGAGCACTGTTTTTATGCTCAAGCCTGGGTGCGGTGCACCCACCTGCAGTCCGATAAAGCCGTCCAGATGGTTACACTCCACCCTGCGTCTGGAGTTATCTGGTTAAGGCGTTCACTGGGTATGCCTTTCACATGCCCTAGCATGATTGTCACTTTGTGACTGACATAACTATCAAAGGCATAATTAATGCTTCATACAAGACCGCTTATTCCATGGGCCAACCCCAACCCTCTAGGCCCCCTTAGGTTGCGCCCGGAGGGCGCAGGCGCAAGTAAGGTAGGCGGAGTGGGGCAAACGTCCTGGTGGGCTAAGCAAGAAGCGCAGGCGTTGCGGATCTCCGATAGGGACACGAGCCCTAGTTGGACTTCAGCGCGCAAGCGCAGCACATCCCGGCAAGGGGCGCGCGCAGCTGCGGGACTCAGTACGCAGGCGCGGGGTCCTCCCTATTAAGGGCAAGTGGAGGCGGTCATTAGCGCGCAGGCGTCTCCGTGGGAGCGGAACCCGATAGGCGGGCCCCGGATTTCCGGTTTCGGGGGCAACGAACGGCCGCGGCGGCGACAGCTACCGTTTCAGAGGAAGCTGCTGCAGAGGAGGAAGAAGAGAAACAGGGCCAAGCGGGAGGTTCAGGCGGGACCCTCGTCATGGGTCCGCGGATCTAGAGCGGCGGAAGCTACCGGCCCGAAGCCGAGCTGGTGAGACAGTCGTGGGGGTGGAAGTGGAGAGCGCTCAGGCGGAGGATGGGGAAGAATTGAGGCTCAGAACACTGACGGAGCGGGCCCTCTGGCCGATGAGTGGGAGGAATGGCGGCGTCGGAATAGTGAAGGGGGAGGAATGGGTAGATTTTAGACGGAGGACGGAGAGAAATGGGGCTCAGGACGCTGACAGTGGAAGTGTCGGGATCCTGGACGAGGACGGAAAGGAGTGAGGCAGGATTTGAACGCTTAGGGGAGACATGGGGGCCTTTCGAGTTAAGGAGAGAAATGGGTGTTCAAAACACTGAGGGGAAGAAATGAGGGGCCCTCAGGCTGATGACGGAGAGAAATCGGGGCATTGGGATTCTGAAAGGGAGGGACGGGGCTGTTACGGAAGACGAGGAGAAATAGGGGGTCAGAACACTGACAGGGATGTTTTGGGTCTGGGACAAGGACAGAGGAATGGAGGGTTGAGAATGTTGAGGGGAGAAATCAGGATCTCTCAGGCTCGTGAGAGGAATGGAGGATGAGGACGCTGAAGGGAAGGTGTAGAGAACTTTTTAGCTGCCAAGGAGAGGAATAGAGAGCTTCAGGGGCTGAGATTGGGAAGGAACTGTGGCTCAGAACACTGACAGAGGGGAAGGAAGGGGGGAGGGTTTCAAGCTGAGAAACAGAAGGAATGAGGGGCTATTTAGGTCAGGGGTATGGAGGAGTTGGGGACTCTGTGGCAGAGGACACAGAGGAAACCGATGTAATAATGTGAGGTAGCAGGAGAAAAGGACATCAGACAGGGAAGGAATGGGAGGGTTGAAAGACCGAAAGAGAAATTAGGGACTCCTGGGTCAGGGAAGGGAGTGAGTGGGAGTCTGAATATTGACAGTGCTGGGATTTCAGTCTGAGGACGGGAGGAATGGGGGCCTCTCGGGCTGAGGATGGGGAGTATGGAGGTCTTGGGGACGAAGGGGAGGAGTAGAGTACCAATAGGTGAAAGACAGAGACTGTCTCGTGGGCCAAGGACAGCGAGAATGAGGGGAAAGACTGCAAGTCTCCTAGGTTGCCGGTGGGCGGAAGTGATGGCCCCTCGGGCTGAGGGTGGGGAGGAGTAAGGGACTGTGAGGAAGAGGACCCTTGGGTTGAGGATGGGGCCATCAGGTCAAGAGGGTGAGGAATGTCGAGCTCCTGGGCCTAGCGCAGGGAAGAGTTGGGTGGGAATGGGGGTTTTCTCTTCTTTATATTGGCCATTTGCCTGTGGCAGGTCCCAGGTCTTGTGCAAGTATTAATAGATACCAGTGGTTTGTGTGGCCTGGGGCATAGCATGTCACCTCCTAGAGCCTCTGTTTCTCCCATTGCCCCTACATGTTGCAGGCTGCTGCTCCTTCCTGTGGCCCCCATGGCTGAGGAGTGGCTGGACTGCCCAGCCCTGGGCCCTGGCTGGAAGCGCCGTGAGGTTTTTCGCAAGTCAGGTGCTACCTGTGGACGCTCAGACACCTATTACCAGAGGTACTGGGTGGGTTGTGGACAGTCGGGTAGGGCTGAGCCTGGTTAGGTAGGGTGAAATCGGGGCGTGGTTAAATTTATGGGTGGAGCTAAAATTATGCATATAAAGTTGGTCCTCGTTATTTGCAGGTTGTGTATTTGCAAATTTGCCTACTCACTAAAATCTGTTTGTACCCCCAAAGTCATTACTCAGCTGTGTTTTCGTGGTCATTTGTGGACATGCACAGAGCAGCAAAAAAATGTTAAGTCGCCTGGTGCACACACCCCAGCTTAGGTTGAACGAAGCGGTATTTCAGCACTTGTACTATAAACAAGTCCTTTTCATTGTCTACGTAGTACCATGCTTTTTGAATTTTTGTAATTTTTATTGGTGATGGTGATTTTGCTGTTTACAGTGGTCCCAAAACATAGTGCTGAAGTGCTGTCTAGTGTTCTAAGTGTAAGAAGTCTGTGATGTGTCGTAAGGAGAAAATACATGTTAAATACTCATAAACTTCATTCAGGTGTGAGTTGTAGTGCTGTTGGGTGTGAGTTCAGTGTTAATTAATAAAAAAATGTGGTACATCTAGAAAAGAAAGAGGAAATTTTTCAATTCGTACATGCGGCTGCTCCAGAAAGTGCAAACGAAATCCGTAGTACTTGATGTGATGAGGCTAAGGAAAAGTTGGGAAAGTGACTAACTTAATGGATCTGTGAGATGATAATGACCAAATATAAAGTGTAGTGGACAGCATTGTGAGGCTGAAAGCCAAGGACGTTACTTACCCAGGGTGAAGAAAATGTTAAACCTGTTATGCTAGTGCGGCTGTCTCACATGTTTCAAAAGGTGACACGTTGTTAAAAATGTTAAATTTGCTTGCAAGGCAGGTTCTGCAGATCAAACGTGCTGAAGATTTTTAAAAATACCTGCAAAGTGCTATATGGGAAAAGGATTGCGTAGAAGAGTAGATTTCCAGTGCTGGTGACACTGGCTTGTTTTATGACATTGGCAAAGAAACCTGTATAATGCAGATTGCCTCCAAAGCTCCTGGCTTCAAATCAATCAAAGCCATACAGTTAATTATTTGTAAGAAGATATTAAATAGGATCTTTAAACAGAAACACACAAAAAACAAGGTTACATAGGATTAGTTTACAAAAATATTGTGACTAGAGGCTTGTAGGAACCTAACCTGTAGTTCCACTAGGAACAGTGGTTCTGTATTCACTAATTCAGTGTTCCAGGTGACTTTATAGAACATAACTACCATGAATAATTAAATTCGACTATACATACATAAACATGCATGTTTATAAACAATTTACACTTAAGGATTTAAGTTATATTAAGATATACTAGTGAGGGAGGGGATGGGAGGGGATGGGGCAGAAGATGAAGGGATTAGAAAGCAAATAAGTAGACACAATATAGTCATGGGGATATGAAATACAGTAACACAGTATGGGGAATATAATCAACAATGTTGTAAAGATTATGTAAAGTGCTGCATGGGTACTGGACTTACCAAGGGGATCACTTCATAGACTGTGTAGATGCCTGGCCAATGTGCTGTACAAGTGAAGCTAAAGTAGAATGATACTATATGTCAACTATAAGTATATATGCACATATAATCATGGGAGGTGGATTATAGCATAAGGAAGATAGTCAATGGTATTGTAACAGTTACATAAGATGTCAGGGGTAGTAGCTTGGGGAGGGAGGTTATCACTTTGTGAGGGGTGTAAATGTCTATTATATTGCTTTGTATACCTGAAACTAATAATAAAAAAAAAGATACACTAGTGATATGCTAGTTAAATTTTCTACACTTTTCCTAAACTTTTTTTGTGTCTAAGTTGCTGTTTTCCCGGAGGAATGTAATAAAATTACAAATACAATTACATTTATATTTAATCATACATTTATTCACATACTTACAACTTGTATAAAACGTTCGACATTTATAAATGTAAGTGCAATTATCAAGAATTGTAAAGGATCTGAGATTTTTAGCCTACTTAGTTCGAGAGAACAAGTGAGCATGTCAGTTTTGTGAATGCTGGTAGGAGATATGAGACTCCTGGGTCAGAGATGAAAGACAGTTTATTACTCATAGCAATAACAGTATCCAAAATTTCATAATTTTTGTATGGGTTCCCAGAATGCCAATTCCCGCAGGGTCACATGAAGAGGGCTAACTAGCATACCTGTACCTGTAACTGGGTTGTATTGTGGGAAGGGAACCCTGAGCTTAAGGAATCCAATCTTTTATAATGTTAGGACAGTAAAGATGTCTTCCCTTTGCTCTGGAAGGAGACCCTTTCTCTTATCTTCCAAGGTTGTTTGCTGTATAAACATCCTTGAAAAAATAGCTAGTAGCAAAGGATAGTTCGTGCCTCTCTTGCAAGACATGCAAAAGTACAAGAGACCTGTGTAGTATTGTCTCCCAATGTTAGTTACTTATACTTTATTTTGTATGTAGTTACACATTTATTTGTTTACACATTTGTTTGTATGTTTATGTGTGCATTTTTATATGTATGCTTTTAAACGTTTCTTATGTTAAGTTGTCTATATATTTAGTATGCAAAGCTAATACATTTACACGTATTTAACATAGTTGTGTTCATTTTTGTGTTTATTTTCAATGATACGGAACACTATTAGTATGCTATAAGTACACACGTCGATTTACATTTATACTGTTTATTAATGTTCGTACACCTGCTGGTATTTATATACCTTTAATATTGTTGCTATTTGGGGTTAGTTGGGGTAGGGCCTGGTCAGGGCTCACACGCCTATCCCAGGCTGCCTCCTATATCCCACCAGTCCTGTGGACCTGTTCACTAACCCAGTGGGAGAGTTGTGTGGGTGGAGAGGCAGTGGCTCCACTTGGGTACCAACCCATCCTGGCCCACCCACAGCCCCACAGGAGACAGGATCCGAAGCAAAGTTGAGCTGACCCGATACCTGGGCCCTGCGTGCGACCTCACCCTCTTCGACTTCAAACAAGGAATCCTTTGCTATCCAGCCCCCAAGGTACTACACAATGTGGGGTACCTAGGCGCAGGGGTGGCTGAGCCACCTAACACCCTCCCACTGACCTACATTCTTCCCGCCCTTGCTCTCATCTCCAGACCCGGTCTGTTGCTCTCCCTAGCAAGAAGCGGAAGAAGCCGTCGAGGCCAGTCAAGGCTCCGAAATGTCACGTTGTATCCCAGAGGAGTGAGGACAAGAAAGAGGCCCCAAGGGTTGAGACCAACGCTGACGCTGACGCTGACACAGCCCCAGCTTCTCTCCCTGCGCCTGGGTGAGTGTTGGTCTAAAGTGAACCAAGTGGGTGAGGATTGTGGTTGGGGGTACACTCAGGGTCCTACACCCATGTTTCCCATTCCAGGTACTGTGAGAACTGTGGGATCAGCTTCTCAGGGGATGGTACCCGAAGGCAGCGACTCAAAACACTGTGCAAGGACTGCCGAGGTGAGTGGCTCCTGGGCACTGGGAGACAGGAGCTGGAGCAGGCCTGCTGTCAGGCCAGGACACTGGTGTAGGGCTGGAGGTTGAATGGTGGCTGTCAGGGCAGAGGCAGTGGATGAGGTCGGAATCTGATGTTTCCTTTCCACTTCTCTTCTTAACCCCTCCTTCCACCCAGCACAGAGAATTGCTTTCAACCGGGAACAGAGGATGTTTAAGGTAAGCACGGCCTGCCTCTTCCTCACAAGTGTGCGGTGGGAGCAGGATGTGATGGGGGCTAGTGGAGGGTCTGAAGGAATGGTGATGGACCACAGGATGTCAGAGTCATTTTGTAGGGAACTGGCTGCAGTCAGGAGACAGTAATGGGAATTAATGGGGTGTTAGTAGACACAGAGATGAGGTTAACAGTGGACCAGTAGACATCGGGAAGTCCTCAGTGATGGTAGCTAATCAGTAATTATCAGATACAGCAATGAGGCAAATGGGGGACTAGCAGTCACAATGATGGGAGCTAATGTAGGGTCAGCAGACACTTGAGGGGCAGTGCTCCTGGAGTCAGTCTGCTTGGGCCTGTGACCTTGCCTCACCCATTCCTGGCAGCGTGTGGGCTGCGGGGAGTGTACAGCCTGCCAGGTAACTGAGGACTGCGGGGCCTGCTCCACCTGCCTTCTGCAGCTGCCCCATGATGTGGCCTCGGGGTTGTTCTGCAAATGTGAGCAGAGACGGTGCCTCCGGATTGTGGAAAAGGTGAGTTGGGCAGGTGGAGTGGGCCCAAGGCTCACCCTGGCCCCTGGCCCTCATAGCCCTGGCCCCGTGCATCATGCCTCTGCCCCTCACGCCCCACAGAGCCGAGGGTGTGGAGTATGCCGGGGCTGTCAGACCCGGGAGGACTGTGGCCATTGCCGAGTCTGCCTTCGCCCTCCCCGCCCTGGTCTCAGGCGCCAGTGGAAGTGTGTCCAGCGGCGCTGCCTACGGGTGAGTTAGGCTGGAGGGGCCAGTGCTGGTGGGGCCAGGGCTGTGGCAGAGCTTATTCCGCTGTTAAAACTTGTTGCTGCTGCTGCTTTCTCCCAACTTGGCCTTGCCCGCCTCATGTCTTCTTTTCTTCCCCACCCCACGCTCACCTCTCTGGCCCCACCTACCTGCCCCCGTCTGCCAGCACCTTGCCCATCGCCTCCGTCGCCACCATCAGCGATGCCAACGACGCCCTCCCCTAGCTGTGGCTCCCCCTGCTGTGAGTGCCCCATCCCACACTCTGCCTGTCTGTCCCACGCATGCTTTCTGCATTCCTGGGCGGGAGGGTCCTATGTCTGCCTGGTGCCACCAAGCCTAACCACCCTTTCGGCTTTGTCCTAGGGTAAACGTAGCCGCCGCAGGGGAGGCTGTGACTCCAAGGTGGCTTCCCGGTGGCGTCCCCGAACCCAGACTCTGCCTCCGCCTCCGCCTCCCCCATTGCAGCCTCCAGAGTCCCCAGAGCTGGTGAGGCCCTAGTGGGCAGGGGGAAGGCACAACCCTAATCCTGCCCAGTACCTACCCTGACCCCAACCCATTTGCCTCTGCAGCACCCCACAGCCCTGGCCCCCTCGCCACCTGCCGAGTTCATCTATTACTGTGTAGACGAGGACGAGCTAGTGAGTGGCCCCATCATACCTGGACAATTCTAGACTCGCCCAGGGCACTTGGTTAAGCCCAAAGAAGCAGATGCTACAGTGGGCCTAATAGGGGAACAGCAAGGCACAGTAATGGGTACTAGTATGAATGAGCAGACAATGGGGGAGGGCCTAATATTGGATCAACAGGTACCCTGATGGTACCTAATGGCAAATGAACCAACACTCTGGTGGGACTAAAAAGAGGAGCTGGCACAGTGACCGGAGTTTACATAGGATGAGTAGACATATGGCAAGTGTGGTGATGGGAGCTAATAGAGGACCAGCAAAATCCTGCTGGAGGTGGGGTGTAAGACACTGTTTGGTAGCTAGTGGGGGACTAGCAGATAGTGATGGATACTGTGTTGAAGCAGCCACAGTCTTAACAGTGTTGAGCCATCCGGTACAGTGATAGTGCCTGATGTGGGACTAGCAGACACTGAGACTAGTGGGAGTCAGGCTAAGACTAGGGTGCAACCAGTGTCCTCTGCTCAGGCTAGTGGAGGAACAACGGAACAGTGCTATAATAGTCCTAGTGACAGCATCCTCCCTGCCCCGTTCCCCTTGTTCCCCAGCAGCCCTACACAAACCGCCGGCAGAATCGCAAGTGTGGGGCCTGTGCAGCCTGCCTGCGGCGGATGGACTGTGGCCACTGTGACTTCTGCTGCGACAAGCCCAAATTCGGGGGCAGCAACCAGAAGCGCCAAAAGTGTCGTTGGCGCCAATGCCTGCAGTTTGCCATGGTGGGTGGGGCAGGAAGGATCAGATGGGCGGGATAAGTTGGGCCAGGTCCTCCAGTGCCTGGGAGTGGTGGGCAGGTCTGGTAGGTAGGTGGGACAGGCCAGTGCGCCCCCCAGATGGGCTTGGCCAAGCATTAGCAGACATCGTACTGAGGTAATCTGGGTGGCACATTGCTAACAGGTGACTGGCAGGCTCAGTGATGAGGAGCTCATAAATAAGCAGATTCTGTGCGGGTAGGAATGGGGGATCAGCAGGCATGTTGATCAGGGCAGGGTGGTGTGGTCGGAGCATTGTACCAGCTGGCCATAACTTCCACCCTTTCCTTACAGAAGCGTCTGCTGCCAAGTGTCTGGGTAGGGCCTGAGGATGGAGCGGGGCCACCCCCATCTTACTCTCGTCGAAAGAGGCCTGGCTCTACTCGACGGTCCCTTCTGGGCCATGCCCTGAAGCCCCCCTTGGCCATGTCCACAGCCCCACCAGAACATGCCCAGATTCCAATGAAGCAGGAAGCAGGCAGTGGTTTTGTGTTGCCCCCGCCTGGCACTGACCTTGTGTTCTTACGGGAGGGTGCAAGCAGTCCTGTGCAGGTACCTGGACCTGCCCCAGCTTCCACAGAAGCCCTATTGCAGGTGAGGGCCCCATCTTATCCTGCCCTTCTCAGCCATACCCAGCCTTGTGCCAGTAAGCTGGGACCAAGTCTACTGCAATCCTCCTTCACACAGGAGGCGCAGTGCCCTGGCCTGAGTTGGGTTGTGGCCTTACCCCAGGTGAAGCAAGAGAAGGTGGATGCCCAGGAAGACTGGACACCGGGCACAGCCATCCTGACTTCTCCTGTATTGCTGCCTGGCTGCCCCAGCAAGGTGGGGGTCAGTGATGGGTGATCTGTGAACAGAGTGATGGTGAGCCTGAGCCAAGATGGTGGTTCTTTGAGCAGAGCAATAGGTGTGCTGATTGCAGCCTCTCCACAGAATTACCCTGCCTTCCCCAGGCAACTAGCTTTGCCTGCATTGCCGCCCAGCTAACAGAAAAATGGAAACCTGTAAGGAATGGGAAAGGTTTGTAGACAAATGGTTTTTCTGTGCTGAAGTGTGACAAGTGAGATTTGTCAGCACAGTGACAGGTTGGCTAGTAGAGACCCTCCCCTCAGGCCAACCCTGCCTTTCTGACTGTTGCCCGTTTCCCACCTTCCCCAGGCATTAGACCCAGGCCTGCCACTTGTGAAGCAAGAGCCACCTGACCCTGAGGAGGAGAAGAGCAAGGATGACTCAGCCTCTGATTCGGCCCCAGAGGAGGAGGCAGCAGGGGTTGGCACGCCAGTGGTCAGTGCTGGGGGACACATCACCCTGCCCTGACTGACCCTGCTTTAGCCCCACTGGTCATGTTGACCCATAATGTTAATTCTTCCCCAGATCACGGAGATTTTCAGCCTGGGTGGAACCCGCCTCCGGGACACAGCAGTCTGGTTGCCAAGGTGTGCCCCACACAGTGAGGGGTTGGGGTGGGGTGGGTGCCGGTCAGATGTGGGCCCTGAGTTTTGAAAGTACAGCCAGCAATTTGGCATGCTGTGGTGGGAGGTAAAGGCCCCACAGCATTGCACTGATAGTGACCACTGAGGAGGTACGTGTAGGACCCTAAGAGATTCCCTGAAGTCCCGGTCAGGATGCTCTCCGGTAGGGAGCTGTTGCGGGGAGGGTCGGGGGGAGTCGAGGGAGAGGACTTGGTGCAGTGTGATGAGATTAGACAGAGAAAGGAAGGAAAGCTTGGTCCCCACCTCCCTAAGAAAAACCAGCAGGGGTCAGAATTAATATATAAATTCTTAAAGAATCATCATTTGGGGTCTTTAATGCCTTTGGAGTGTCCAAGAGATGACCAGGTGGGCTGGGCAGTGGTGGGTGGGCAGGATATCTGGGTCTTGAGATGGCTCCGATCTGGGTCCACTTGCAGCTGTGTGGTCTTTTGGTCTAGTCCTGTGCCTTCTGGAGCGTCCTCTGTGGAGGGGGTTAGGCTGTGTTTCTTGAGCCTTTCCTGAGCCTGTTGAGAGGTTATTGACAATTCCAGCTGCTGTGCAGAACTGTCCCTGCAAGCTTGGCAATAAGATAAAGGATAGGTGCCTGTGAGGATTGGGATGATGGGAGGAGGACAAGGAAATGCTGCTGCTTGCAGAATATTGACAGGCCCTACAGAGCCTTAGACACAGGCAACATAAACTCTTGGCTTCAGCACCTGGGTTCCTTGGTTCCTGCAGACTAGTTTCTGTAGGCCAGAAATCCCTCCATCTGCACTTGGGCGATTACAGAGGTATGAGCTCTGACAATTAAGTTCGCAAACTCATCCTAGAAAAAGTGATACATACCTCATTGCTGAATATCACTATGGTCACCTTTGAAGTACACCCCTTGGGAAGCTATGCACCGACACCAGCGCCTAGGCCACCCTTCAGAGCAATTTTGGAACTTTTTTTTTTTTTCTGGAATGGCCATCAGAGCTGTCATCATATTACCCTTGATGTCTTGAATGTCATCAAAATGTTTCCCTTTCAGTATTTCCTTTATCTTCAGGTAAAGAAAGAAGTCATTGGGGGCCAGATCAGGTGAGTACGGAGGGTGTTCCAACACAGTTATTTGTTTACTGGCTGAAAACTCCCTCACAGACAGTGCCGTGTGAGCTCGTGCATTGTCGTGATGCAAGAGCCATGAATTGTTGGCGAAAAGTTCAGGTTGTTTTCGTCTAACTTTTTCACACAGACTTTTCAGCACTTCCAAATAGTAAACTTGGTTCACTGTTTGTCCAATTGGTACAAATTCATAATGAATAATGCCTCATATCAAAAAAGGATAGCAACATCGTTTTGACTCTTGATTTGGACTGACGGATCTTTTCTGGTCGTGGAGAATGGGCTGACTTCCATTGTGCACTTTGACGCTTTGTTTCAGGGTCCTATTGATACACCCATGTTTCATCACCAGTGAAAACATGGCCCAAAACATCGTCTTGCCTCTCCAAAAGGTCTTGGCAAACTTCGACTCCCCTTTGCTTTTGTTCATCGGTGAGCTCATTTTTGCACACACCTTTCTCATGCCAAGATTTTCAGTTAAGATTTTCCTAACTGTTTCTCTATTGATGTTTACTTGGTCTGCTATGCTTCTCACAGTCAGCCAACGATTTTGACGCACAATTCAACGAATTTTTGCAATGTTTTCGTCAGTTCTGCTCGTTGCTGGCCACCCTGACGTCTCTATCAGTGACACATTCTCTTCCCTCAAAAAAACGTTTAATCCATTTGTACACTGCCGTTTTCTTCATGGTATTATCCCCATAAACTTGGATTAACATGTCCCTGATTTCACTTCTACTTTTGCCAAGTTTAATAAGAAATCTAATGTCTGTTCATTGCTCTAATTCAAGCTCAAACATTCTCGCGACGGCACACAAAAACATGCAACAATAATGAACGCCACTCAGCAAGACATCACCACATGTCAACATAAACACAGCTGTTAAACACTGATATGCAAAGGTTATGAAACCTCATTGAGCTGTTTGTGCAGTGCTGCCAATGTAAGTGCACGGTGGCAAGTTCGCGAACTTAATTGTCAGATCTCATACTGATCGAATCCCTGCTGGATACACTGCAGTGTGGGAGATAACAGCGGTGAATACAATGACCGTGGAAGGTTTACCCTTCAGGAAACAGGACTCCTGCCTTCAGGGAGCTTAAAATCTACCTGGGGAAACAGTTTCCCTATGGATGAAATCATTACGTATAACAGAAGGTAACGATGTGCTATGTTGTTTGTAATGGGCGATTTTAGAAGAGGGAAGAGAGAGAAGGGATAAGTAATCAGAAATGGATGGCCGACACAAATTAGTAGGACATGGTTTTGTGATGCTCCATTTTGCACATAGCGAGCCTCATTCAACATACAACTGCTCCCTCTCCTCTAGGTCCAAGGACCTTAAAAAACCTGGAACTAGAAACCAGTAGACTGGAGGCTTCTGCAGACTAGGATTCAAGGTGATATTTTCAGACCGGCTTTATGAGAGACAACACTGACGTACTCAGAGGCTGGACCATAGCGCGATTGCCAGGGCTTGTGTAGGAGTCCGTAGGAACTGCAAAAACCTACCACCAAGCCAGAGGGCCACGCCTGTTCAGTACTTTGAGCTTATAGATGAAGTGAGCAGGGAAGGAAGAGAAAGAGAAGGAAGTTGGTGTCTGCTCCAAGTGGTGGAAATCCCAGAAGCCGGAGTGTGATGAGAAGTTTGGATATTAGGGGTGGAGGAGCTGGGATTGAGACTGGGGAATAGAACTAGAGCCACCATAAAACAACCTCAACAAGCCATCTTCTTAAATATTCAGGGGCTTTTGTGTGAGACCTGGCAGTGTCTCTTAAGTAACTGGGAGACAGCAATTGAAAATGTAATGTGAATAAATAAGGAAAGGAACTGCTGTTTGGTGAATTCTTCCTTATGGATCCAATTTAATCCTCCAGACAGCCTTTTTAGGAAGACAGTGATTTTGCCCATTTTGCAGATGGGAAAACTGCGACTCAAATAACTTGTCCAGTGTCAAGCAGCTAGTATTGATAGAGCCTAGAATCAAACCCGGTTTGTTAAAGACTTGTTCTTTAAGCCACTAACCTGTGAACTGTAATCCTATATTCAATAACGTATAATAATAGTATAGTAGCAAGTTTCCAGTGACCCTGAAAACAAGCTGGATTACTTTAAGCCTTATAACAAATCTCTACAGTGTTGCCTCTAGCATGGTTTAAGGAGTGCCAGGGCTATGTGGACAAGGTCACCTTGTCAGAGCATCTGTGTATCCAGATACTGGGTTCTTTCCAGGCCTCGGATGTTGCATAGGATTCCTAAAACCCTAAATGCCACTGTCCATTTTGCTTGTTTACCTCACTCCCTCCCCTCAGCCAAAGCAGACTTTAGAAGTAAAACTGTCAACGCCTGGCTCATCTTTCCTGATAACTTGCATCCCCTGCCCCTTGATGACTTTGTGCTTGGTTTCTGTACTCAGCCCTGTCTACTAGGAGTCTTGATTTTCTGCTTCAAGTCCTGTCAAAGGGCTAGTCTTGTCTCAGCCCTGTCTCACTTTCCAATTCTTTGCATAGTGCTAAAAGTGATTAGACCTGTGATTCATTACTTAGCCAGCTTTGCAGGGGGGACTGAGTGTGTGCCTCCTTAAATTTTGTAGCCCATGTGCCTCCCTTGCTTTACTCTAGTTTCTAGCCCTGCAACTTTACATAATTCAGATGTAGATTAGCTATTTCTGCACCCTCCCCCCTCAGCCCCTTGTTTTGCCTCATCCTACTCACTTCAGCCAGAGTTGACTGGATAATTTTTTGCTGTTGTTTTGCTCCCCACAAGATCGAACCACCCAACCCTAGTATTCTGGTAATTTTGACAGTGACGTCCTAAGTGAAATTTATATGATTGGTATTCTGACTCATGATATAAGAGTCTGGTTACCATGTATATCAGGGTACAATTAGAAAAGCAACACCACTAATATAAAGATTTTATATATATATATGTATGTATATGTATATATGTATATTATTTAAGGGATTTATTATAGGGATTTGACCATATGCAATTGTGGGAGCTGGTTAAACAGTCTGTAAGGCTGTTGTCTTTGCATCTAATGCTGGAGCTTGAAGTCTGCAGGGCAGGCAGTCGGGAAAGGAAGAAGGATGTAATGTGTGGGAGACGGAGGACACATTGGCGCCCACAAGCACAAGCTGGAACCCCCGAGGATGGCCTGGAACGCATGTCAGTGTCACACCACCTCCAACTTCGATGATGTGGGTGTCCTGCAGAAGAAGCTGGTGCCCTTCACCACAGAGTTAAATAGGCATCTGGCCTAGGAATCAGAGAAGCTGAAGGAAGACCCTGGGGAAGGTGGAGCGGCTGCACCACCGACAAGGCGGGCCAGCAGATGAATGACAGCGTGTGAACTGTAACAGTGCCAGGTGCCCCTGCACCAGCCTTCCAAGTGTAAAGACAGCGTGCTGCTGCTTCATTTCTGCCCTCCAATTATTACGTACAATGTTTCTTGTGGCCCATCCTAACCAGAAGTGTATGGGGAAGGGAGTCCTGGGAAATAGACTAGTCAAGGCGACAGTATGAAAGTATAAAACCACTCTGCTGTGAATCTGCTCCCAAGGGTCTCACTACTCATGTGAGGATAACTTGATAAAGCTATGTTGCTGGAAATGCAAAGCTGAAGACCATGGATTTCATGGTGACTCCAGCAAGCACAAAAATTGTGTCAAGCCCACCCAGTAAAAATGTTGGTCTCAGCTCTTTTTTTGGTCATTCGTATGGAGAACCTGGCCCATAGTAGACACTGAACTTAATATTGGGATACAGGAATGAGAAAAATATAGTCCATGCAATTTTATTAAATACATGAATATGTATTACAAATGGTGAATGGATTTCTAACTCTGTCATGGAATTTAATGGTGAAAATGTAGAATTCAGGGAACTATCTGGAGGACAACCCTTGTGTGAACCTTGCTGGGGCACAATAGGAATTGGAAATAATATAAATAGTTTCTGTCTCGAAGCTGTTCTATTTTAAAATTATTTTTAAATGATTTATTGTCCCATTTACTGATTCATATATTTAGTGTTTCTTTTGGGAATGTCAATGATGGTAACAGTGTTGACTGCATCTGAGAAAGTGGGATAGTGGGTGGCAAGATAACGGTCAAGTTCTGCCCAAGGACCTTGGGCAAATCACTTTAAGGCCTCCGAGGGGGGCTGGCCTCGGTTTGGCTGAAGGCCCAGGCTTACCCAGCGCAGAGCCCGGCCCCACCGCCCTCGGAATAGGCCCACGAGAGGGCGCCGGGGCCGCTGGTCATCCCGCCTGGGCTCGGGAGACAGCCCCTCACCCCTGGCCTGCGCGTTCCAGGGGCGTGGTCTCGGGTTCCAGATGTCTTCCGGTGTGGGGCCCGAAGGGAAGTCGGCTCCCCTTCGTATAGTGGTGAAGCAGGCAAAACCTAGCCGGAGTTAAATTATGGGCCTCGCCCAGGTTGAGGGCGCGGCATGAGCTCAGGACTGACGCAGGGCAGCCGGGTATCGCGAAGGGGCGGTTTCCCGTCACCAAAACTCATTTCGACAGTACCCTCCAGGCTGTATGACCTTGGGGGTGCCCTATTAATCTAATAAGCGCGCCCCTTAATCTCAGCTACTCTTCCCAAACACCGCGCCTGCTTGAGGGCGTTTCAGTTGCCTTCCTTCCTCCCCAGGGGTGTGGTGTCTGGGGTGGCTCCACCCAGACCAACCGGTAGGCCAGGCACCCCTGGAACTCGGAGATCAAGGAAACTGGCCCTCATGACTCCATTCAGGGAACCCAGACGACCATCTAATTTCTTTCTTTCTTTCTTTGTTTCAGGCTACGTAAACTCTTAGCAGTAAATGAAAATGAGTATTTTACTGAACTGCAATTGAAAGAAGAAGCATAGGAGAAAAAAGACAAAAAATCAGAATTATTAAAAGATTATTAAAACAGAAGAAAGAGACATTATTTTGTGGCTGAAAAGCTGATCCAGCAATTCAGGAAATGGAATCCAAAGCTAGAAACGTATCATATACAAAATCCGAAGTGGGTGGATTACAAATGATTAAGGAATGCTAATTTACAGTAAATCGCGGCCTTAAGATGGTGTGTACAATAGTTGTACTTTGATTATTGTTACACGACAGTGACTGACTAGGTACTGAATGTTTTCTGTGCTCTATACTAGTGTTCTATGTTTGCCTCGGATTTAGAATAAGAGTACCAAAGTGTCATTTTTAATTGGCTTTTAGGTATTAACTACCACCTTGCTCTTGACTGTAAGTACAGCTGTGGTCTCCATTTGCTCTGAGGGCCCCTTCTAAGTCCCCTGCCTGGGATCCAGGTTCTCGGGGCTGGATCACTTGCACTTTTGTACCATATGTCCTCACCCTGGTACACTGTGTGGCCCTTGACCCAGACTTGGTTTTTGTTGTGCCCAGGCAGTCGTGTCACTGCACTACCAGTCCATCTGATCTGCCCCCACCCTGGGGTACCCTGAGTCTAAGCCTTGGTTTCTGCCCAGTGCAGTAAGATTTTATAAATAACAGATTTATCATTACTGGTTGGGTAGGCTGACAAGGCAGTTAGACCCTCGCAGCCTTTTCTTAGCTGTAATAGGATAATACCTGCTCTGTTATTCTGTCAACCCTATAAGATATTTATGAGGCTCAAACGTTTTATGTGTGAAAAATACCTTGCAAATTACTGTGAAGAACTACACAAATACAAGGTTGTCCTGTGATTTGCGTCATCAAGATTAACCTAGAGATCACCACAACATTGAACCTTGCCACAAAATGTCCACTAACCTTTCTCATGTTTTTAGACCGATTACAGGATATAAATAAATAGTAAAGTCAGTTGGAATGTAATTAGATCTTCGACTTCTGCTAAAGGAGGCTTTTTTTCTGCTGTTCTGATGAACCCTAGAGGAAGGGGGCGAGGTCGGCCGGAGGCCTGGCCAAGGGCGGGGTGAAGACCGTGCAGACTCAGCTCCTCCGCTCCAAGAGGAAATCGTGAGTGCCAGCGTCTATGGTCACCATGGTGACTGGACCAACTTCCGCTCCACCGACCTGCCTATAGCCCTGCGAGGCGCTCCATGGCAACCAGACTTCTGCGTCGCGGAAGCTGGTCCCAGAGGTTGCAGCGGTTGGGGAACCCCGGCGGACGCCGCCCCCATCCCAGGGGGACTTGAAAATGTACAGCCAGCGGTTTGGCATCGTACAACGGGAGGTTAAGGGCCCCACTCCCAAAGTGGTGATCGTGGTAAGCACGAGATGTGTGTGCGGGATTCCACCTCTTTCTGCACCCTCCCGCACTCCAGGCCTAGCTGAGCCCAGCCTGGCCCCCTGCCAGGGCTCTAAAGGGAAGCAGGGGCCTGATGCGGTGGGTTGGATTTTTGAGGAAGGATGGATGAGGTTGCTTATCTCGCCCCCGTGCTCCCATCCTTTTCCCACTCCCTCCAATCCTTTGTGTCATTTATAAATATTTAGATTCTGTATATGGAGAATCACCACTTGGGCTCTTGTGGGGTTTCAGTCTCCAGAATACCTGAAAGGTTGTCCCCATGCGATGTGGAGTGTGTGTCACAGAAAGGGTTCTGGGCCATGCAGCAGGAAATCTGGGGTCTGGGCTGGCAGTCTTTCAGTTTTATGATCTTGGGCTGGCCCTACACCCCTAGGAAAACCATCTGTGGAAGTGGGGTTGGGCTGTGAGGTGTTGTGAGTGGTTATTGAGCCCCTCCTGTGCAAACTCAACTGTAACAAGTGTCCTTGCAGGCCTGGATGGAAGGAAATAGGACAGTTTGTGGCCTGTAAGGCTGGGGGAATGCTGCCTGCTGCAGAATTTGATGGGTCCTGCTCAGAGCCCCCAGACACTTGGTCCATGTACCTGGATTCCTTTCTTTCTACGGGCTAGAAAACCTCCACGTGTAATTAGACAATTACAGGCTATTACTTGAGCACCCGCTGTGTGCACAGCACTGTGGGAGATACAAGGGTGAATACAATGACCCTGGGAGGTTTACCCTGCAATAGAAGTTGATTCCTGCCTTCAGGTTGCGTATCATCTAATTGCAGAAACAACTCGCTCATGTATAAAACCATTACAGGTTAACCATAGATAATGATGTGCTATACTGTCTGTGATGGCCCTTCATGGAAAAAAGGTCAGGGATAATGAAAGATGCATGTTTATGCTCCATGGTGCACATAGCAATTCTCAGTTAATTTATAAACCTGCTCCCTCTTCTCTGGGTCCAAGGACTGTAGGATCTGGGTCTGGAAATCAGTGCGCAGGAGGCTTCTACAGACTGTAGGAGTCAAGGTGATCATTACAGACAGACTTCATTAGGGACAGAAATTGATCTCCTTTGGGTTTGGCATCCAAACACAGAGCTCAGGGGCTGGTGCCATTGGTCAGGTACCATTATTTGTTTTGGGAACCAGTAAGGATTTCTATTACACCAAATTACCACCAAACCAGAGAAGCAGGCCTATTTAATACTTTGAAGTTATAGAAAAATAAGAAGGAACAGGTCAGAGTTAGTGCATCTCATATGTCAGTGTAATAAGAAGTGTAGGTGTTAGAGGTCACAGAATTGTGGTGGGAGAGGAATAATAAAAGCCACCTGAGATGAGAGTTGGACACTAAACAACTCCTCCAGGAGGAAGCAATAAAAGATGTAATACCTGAAGTAATGGAGAAGCGAAACAAGCAGCTGTTTGGTGAATGCCTCCTAGAGACCCAATTGCCTACTTCTCAAAATAGTTTTTTAGGAGGACATTTATTTTGATCATGGGTAAAGGAGTAGAGGCCCGAATCAAACCTCGGATGTGAGACATTGTTCTTTAAGACATTAACTATAAACTGTAATGCTAGAAATGACAATTTGAGATGTTACAGTAACAAAAGCCTTCGGTGACTTTG